GGCCCCATATAACGGTACCTCCCTATATTCGGTATTTTGATGATTTTAGCGTCATTATTCACCAGAATTGTTTCAATTTTGGTGTTTGAAGTTCAAAATGGATACTACAGCCTAGGACAGAAAATTGTCTGTGCCGGTCCACGTCTTCGTATAGGCCCCATATGACGGTACCTCCCTACATTCGGTATTTTGATGATTTTAGCGACATTATTCACCGGAATTATTTAAAATTTGGTATTTGAAGTCCCATATGGATACTACAGCCTAGGACAGAAAATTGTCTGTGCAGGTTCCCGTCTTCGTATAACCCCCATATAACGGTACCTCCCTATATTCGGTCTTTTGATGATTTTAGCGTCATTATTTACCGGAGTAGTTTCAAATTACGTATTTAGAGTTCGTAATGGATGCTACAGCCTGTGACAGAAAATTCTCTGTGCAGGTCCAGGTCTGCGTATAGGCACCATATATCAGTACCTCCCTATATTCGGCATTTTGGCGATTTTAGGCACAATACTCACCGAAATTATTTGTGATGTCGTATTTGAAGTTCGTAATGGATGCTACGGCCTGTGACAGAAAATTGTCTTTGCTGGTCCAGGTCTTCGCACAGCTCCGATATAACGGTACCTCCCTATATAAAATATTTTGATGATATAACGTACCTCCCTATATAAGATATTTTGATGATTTTAGCTACATTATTGACCGTTTATTTCGAATTTGAATATGGTAATGACTTATGAAAAGCAATACCTATGTAGGTCCACGTCGTATAGACCCCAATATAACGGCAATATTCGGTTTTTTAAAGTTTTAACAGAATTTTTAGGGATTTTATTTTTTTGAAAATTGCCTAATTCGTTCCAAATGGTGGAGGGCTTACAGCTTTTCCGAACTTACAGCTTTTTAACTTGTTTCATCTCACCCTGTATATATGTTTTATCGGATTTGGTGCTAAAGTCCTACACATGCGTAATATACACCACAAAAATTATATTTGGTAACGGGCATTAGATACTGCTCGAAAATACGTATGACAAATTTTATAGAGATCGGTTTAGATCTATATCCTAGATCCCACATATATATCTTTATCCGTTATCAGGTTTTTTGTGCACCAAATGCCTAATATCAGACCAAATGGACTGAATTTTGGCAATTTCGGCTGAATTCATCGTAAAAACAAGTTCTTCAAATTTTGTGAAAATCGGTACAGTTATGGCTATAGCTCTCATATATATGTTTCATCCGATTTGATGTTGAAGTCCCTTAGATGCGTCATATGCACTCCACAACAATTATATTTGATACCGGGCATCAGATACTGCTCGAAATTACCTCTGCCATGTTTTAGCGAGATCGGTTCAGATTTTTATATAGTTTCGATATCGACATCTTCATCCGATTTTACGATTATTACTCACCCTATATGTAATATCAGCCCAAATTGAATAGATTTGTTCATATTCAAACGAATTTTACCATTTGGTGAAACCCAGGTCCAGTCCCTATTGCTCCAAAAAATGTTGTTAATGTCATCCTTATCGAAGTCATATCATGCGCTATAGTTGGTATGATCTACTTCACTTAAATTCCCAATTTAAACTTTTTTGTTACGGGAGCTCTACTAAATACGCATAGAGGTGTAGGGTATCATATAGTCGGCCCCGCCCGACTTTTGACCTTTTCTCACTGGTTTTACTTTCGATTTTTTTTTACCTCCATCCGAAAACGATTACTATTACGGCTTAGTACCAAAGCTTACTTGGAACTAGTAACCCAAGGACACCCACCACTTTCGCCAACTCAATTTGAGCTGCTCTGTTTACATTCGGGCTTTGTTTAAAACTTTGTTGTACACACACACACATATCTCCACATAATCGCATAAACAGATATCCTCCTCGAAACTCATTCGGATGATGATGATTTCGTTTTGTGTGCACTTTAAAACGCCACAAAAATATCATTTATGTTGATTTGCAAAGCTCCACAAAGCCGATCTCTGTGTGTTATTTTTTTTTTTCGTCTGCCTGGGACTGCATTGGCCCGATGCTGGCAATGATAACGATAATATTGTTGTTTTTGTTATTGCTGTTGATTTTGTTCTGCTTTTCTTGATGATGCTGATGATGATGGTGCTGATATTGTTGGCAGATTTTTCTTCAGTTCATTTGTCTGGTGGTTACTCTTAATTTCGTCTGTCGCTTTTTGTGATGTATTTATTGTCGAGCCGAGTGATAGACATGTTTACCAACCTGACGTTACGTTAAATGATGTTTCTCAAAAAAACAGCAGCAGCAACAAAAAATGAAACGGCGAAGAGCGATGAATAAAAATAAGTTGTTTTGATGGTTTCTCTCATCTAAATCATACATCCATCCATGCCGGCCATCAGTCAGCCAGTCAGACAGCCAGGCAGGCAGGCCGTCATCCATCCATATCACCAGAATTCCTGTTAAGAGAACGCTTTATATTTGATTAGTTGATTACGTTTTGCATCTGTCTCAACAACAAATTTTGGAATATTTTTGTTTTGTATCAAAAAGTTGCTGCTTGTCGCGATGATGATAAGAATTAAACAGAAAAATTCATGCCTAGCCATCAGGTCCAACGTGACAATTTAATCAGCTCATCAGCAGAAGTTTCTTACGTCACAGTAAATCTCTTGCTCCGCAGGCCCGAGTACAGAAGCAACCACAGCAGCAGCTGATAGCAAAAATCAAACGCATTCCATAGTCATAAATTAAAAGTTATACTGCGTTGATAATAAACACCGTGACGCCTCACTTTTGGGTATATCGTAAGTGTCTCGGCATACACTCATACACACGGATATATGCACGCTGCGAAATTAAAAGCATCTTCGCTATGCGTCACACTTAACGCATTTTTATCATTCTGTGATGCTAGCTAGCCGCCACAGGCTCCTGTTCTCGTGAAATGTTTAATCGGTTATTTTTTTCCGATTTTTTTTTTATTCGACGATATTTGGCAACCTTGTATTGATTTTTCTATAAATCTGATAAATGTCATAATTAAATGAGCCATATAAATTTTATTATCTCGAAATATGAGTCATAAAATGTTATTTATTTTTTATGGTTTAATGTCGAGAGGCCAAATGTGGGAGCTCTGCGATTATTGAAAAAATTCTAGAAGGAGAAGACCTATGAAAAAATGTTTGGGGGACTTTTTTTGTTCGCTCGCTATGATATTTCAAAGTATAAAGGTCGATTAGGGACGACGGCGGCAGAATTTTAGTGTGGCTTTGGAATTTGTTTCTATTTTGAAACGAGGGAACAACTCTCGTTTAGTAAAACTCTTCGATTTTTTCGAAATTGTTTCCAGAGGTAGGTATTTTTACCCTGATTCCGGAAAAAAGGTATTTGAACAAATTGTAGCATTTTGGAAAGTTAAGAGTGTCAGCTATAATTTCGCATCAATTTTGTTGACCCCCATAATGGACCCTTTTTGGACTTTTTGGGGTTTTTACAAAAAATATGGGTCCAAAAAATCGATAATTTGACTATAACTTCCGAACCTGTGAACATGTGACCACTTGTTGGATAGGTATTTTCATAAGCTTTCCTATACCGATATTGTCTATATCGGGTAATTGGATCCGGGTCTAGTCGGGGTCCTGAACCCGAACTTTGTTTTTTACTAAACTGAAAGTCCTGAACCCCGACTTTGTTTTTCACTAAACTAGAGTTAAGCCAAAATTTCAAAGTAAAGGATAACCTTATTCTTTGAATTTAGTTACGATTCTCTATCCAATTCGAAGCAATAATTGTAGAGGCGAGGAAGGCAAACAATGGCTTCCTTGGGGTGTAGTTTCGATTCTAGTTATACCCCCAGCCGTATGGCTAGAGAGGGTATACCGGGTGATATAAAACAAGTTAAGAAGCAGTAAGTTCGGCTGGGCCGAACTTTGAATATCCTCCACCATTTGGAACGAATTTGGAAATAAAATCCCCAAAAAATTCTGTTAAAATTTTAAAAATACCAAACATATAGCCGTTATGTTTGGTGTCTATACGACGTGGACCCACATAGGCATTGTTTCTCATAAATCATTACCAAATTCGAAACTTGAAATAAATGGTGAAAAATGTAGCTAAAATCATCAAAATATCGTCTATAGGGAGGTACCGTTATATCGGAGCTATACGAAGTCGTGGACCTACATGACCCATTTGACCCCCCATACTATGGTGGAGAGTATAAAAATGTCGGAAGTAGCATCAAATTTTAGAATAAATTTAGATTTGTTCGAATTAGTCACCTTTGGCATGAATTATGGCCTTCAAACTGCCAATGAAACCGCCACACGTTGCCCGAATACTGTTCTGCGGTAGAAATGAAGCGAGGAACCTCATTTTGTAAGCATTCTTGGCAGGTGCTGAGTGCGATGGTGCTGAGTCCTGTTGGAATGTCCAAGGTGATCTTTTTGTTTTTTTTTTTTTTACAAATTGCAGGACAACGAACGGAGAAAACCAAATTCGGCAGTTCACCACTTTCGGCCAAGCGAAGCAACTCTTTAGCTCTTTTGAGTCTATTTTCCTTCTGTTGCGGTCTAAATTCTTGTACTTTTTGAAATTTCAATGGCTTTACCCCGAGCTCATTTTTCAAAATTTGCCGAATGGAATATTGCGATATGTTCAGCTCACGAGCCATTTTTCGTTGTGGCTTAGAAATGACATCAGTCTGAATTTGGTTGCAGTTTTTTCATTTCATCCTGTATATCATATTTATAAGGTCCGATAGCAAATGGACAATATTCTCCCATGCCCAATTTAAATAATCATAACAAAAGTCGAAATATATTTCAATAATCGAACATTGGCTGAGAGTATACATCTGTCGGCAAAACTGACTGATGATATTTTTAACTTGTTTTATGTATCCTTATTTTTAAACCTCTCTAACCCACCCCCCACAAAATCAACTTACACTGATTACCCGTTATGCATTTTGTTCTTGTTTCTTTACAGCACAGCTCGCTTCCATAAGATCAATATCAGCCAGCAATCGGACGGTGGAAAACGGGCAAGAGCTGCGGATTGTGTGTAAGGTGACGGGCAGGCCGCCACCCAAAGTGACATGGTTTAAGGATCATCGATCAATAAATCGAAATCGTAAACTGTATCAGTTTATACACTATAAGTAGGTCAAACAACATCACAACCATTTTTCATTAAAAATTAGGGATCTAAAAAAATACTCAAATAACTTTTGACATCCCCAAAAAATAATTTAAAATGATCTCATTTTTTTTAATTAATATTTTTTTCTTTGCTTTTCTTAGGAAGAGATCTGAACTTATTATACGTTCGTTCAATACCTCTGATGCGGGTCGTTATGAGTGTCGAGCAAAAAACAAGGTTAATCGAAATATAGAACGCAGAACCATTGTCATCAAAGCGTATCCAGGTATGTTGGATTCTCATGGGTGTCTACACCATTTCCATGAGAAGTTATTTTTTTAACCAAATATAAAATTAATTGATTTTATATTTTTGTTTTGTTTCGTTTAGTCGTACAACGCTTTGATCCAAATCCCCGAGGTGCTGGCAACACCTGCCCCGATGATGCCTCTGAGTTTTGTTTCAATGGTGGAACCTGCAAGTTCTTCTCTGAAATCAGTTCCTATTCGTGCATGTAAGTCAAAAAAAATCTGATCAACCTTAAAAAATTAAAAAAAAAATATTTTTTTAAAAAATCCCCGTTTGTTGCTCCTTCAGAAAGTAATTATTTAAAAAATCCCCGTTTGTTGCTCCTTCAAAAAATAATTATTTAAAAAATCCCCGTTTGTTGCTCCTTCAAAAAATAATTATTTAAAAAATCCCCGTTTGTTGCTCCTTCAAAAAATAATTATTTAAAAAATCCCCGTTTGTTGCTCCTTCAAAAAATAATTATTTAAAAATCCCCGTTTGTTGCTCCTTCAAAAAATAATTATTTAAAAAATCCATGCTTGTTGCTCCTTCAAGAAATAATTATTTAAAAAATTCCCGTTTGTAGGTCCTTCAAAAAATAATTATTTAAAAAATCTACATTCGTTGCTCTTTCAAAAAATACTCTTTAAAAAATCCACGTTTGTTGCTCTTTCAAAAAATTCGTTTTAAAAAATCCACGTTTGTTGCTCTTTCAAAAAATAATTATTTAAAAAATCCCCATTAGTTGCTCTTTCAAAAAATTCTTTTTAAAAAATCCACGTTTGTTGCTCTTTCAAAAAAATATTTTATTTAAAAAATCCAAGTTAGTGGCAACTTCAAAAAATAATTATTTAAAAAATCCCCATTTGTTGCTCCTACAAAAAATATTTTTTAAAAAAATCCCCGTTTGTTGCTCCTTAAAAAATAATTATTTAAAAAATCCCCGTTCGTTGCTCCTTCAAAACATTATTATTTAAAAAATCCCCGTTCGTTGCTCCTTCAAAACATTATTATTTAAAAAATCCACGTTTGTTGCTCCTGCAAAAATAATTATTTAAAAAATCCACGTTTGTTGCTCCTGCAAAAATAATTATTTAAAAAATCCACGTTTGTTGCTCCTTCAAAAAATAATTATTTAAAAAGCCACGTTTGTTGCTCCTTCAAAAAATAATTATTTAAAAAATCCACGTTTGTTGCTCCTGCAAAAATAATTATTTAAAAAATCCACGTTTGTTGCTCCTTCAAAAAATAATTATTTAAAAAATCCACGTTTGTTGCTCCTGCAAAAATAATTATTTAAAAAATCCACGTTTGTTGCTCCTTCAAAAAATAATTATTTAAAAATCCCCGTTCGTTGCTCCTTCAAAACATTATTATTTAAAAAATCCACGTTTGTAGCTCTTTTAAAAAATAATTATTTAAAAAATCCACGTTTGTAGCTCCTTTAAAAAATAATTATTTAAAAAATCCACGTTTGTTGCTCCCACAAAAAATAATTATTTAAAAAATCCACGTTTGTTGCTCCTACAAAAAATAATTATTTAATAAATCCACGTTTGTTGCTCCTTCGAAAAATAATTATTTAAAAAATCCACGTTTGTTGCTCCCACAAAAAATAATTATTTAAAAAATCCACGTTTGTTGCTCCTACAAAAAATAATTATTTAATAAATCCACGTTTATTGCTCCTTCGAAAAATAATTATTTAAAAAATCCACGTTTATTGCTCGTTCAAAAAATAATTATTTAAAAAATCCACGTTTATTGCTCTTTCAAAAAATAATTATTTAAAAAATCCACATTTGTTGCTTCTTCAAAAAATAATTATTTTAAAAAATCCACATTTGTTGCTCCTTCAAAAAATAATTATTTAAAAAATCCACGTTTGTTGGTACTTCAAAAAATAATTATTTAAAAAATCCACGTTTGTTGGTACTTCAAAAAATATTTTTTTAAAAAATCCACGTTTGTTGGTACTTCAAAAAATAATTATTTAAAAAATCCACGTTTGTTGGTACTTCAACAACTTCCTTTAAAAAAATTATAATAATTTAAAAAAATTTACGTTGGTTGTTCCTTTAAAAAAAATTATTTAAAAAATCCACGTTAGTTGCAAATACAAAAAAAAAATTTAAAAAAATATATTTTTTTAATCCACGTTTGTTTCGGTCTTCGGAGAAATATTCTTTTTTTTAGGTCTGTTTTTCCTTAAGTTTTTTAATTCATTTTTAATGTTTTCCCCTTTTCATCTTTCCAGATGTCCTGAAGGCTTCATTGGTGAGAGATGCGATCGCAAGGAAGTCAACAATCCCAGTACGTACAGCAACGAACAAGAGTGTGGCGATAAAAAGTATTTTGGAAGTTATTATTGCTAAAGTAGGCTTTTCTATAGCATCCAATGTTTAACGATATAGAAACAAAAATCTCAAAAAAGAAAAAAAAAACTCGAAATTTTTTATAAGAAAAAAAATGAGTCTTATATTTGGAAAGATGGCAAAGACGCTAACTAAGAAATTGTCCTCTACAAACATGACCTCCTTAAAAAAATGATCGAGAAAAAATGGAAGGACATGAATTGGATATTTGACAAAAAGAAAAAACTTTCTGTAAAAATTACCCACCCCCCTCATTTCAATACAATATTAGCTTAGGTTGTACACACACATGTATAGGAGCAATTTCCCAAGGATCTTGTTTCAGTGTGTGGGTACATATGCCAAAAAAAACGAATCAAACTATTAACAGCAGACAACACCAAAAAATTCAAATAAATCAAAATAGTTTTCTTTTTCCAAGAATATTTTTTTAGAATAATAATTACCATAACACACACACATACACAAATATATTTAAAACAATAACAAAAAAAGAAATAAACAAATATTTGTATAGTACAAAAGAATTGTAACGCAACGTAACGTACACACAATGGCACGTAACGTAAACGAATGCAACAACAACACAACAACAGTATGGGCCCTTGATGGCTAACCACATGCACAAATTCTCACCACATTCCATAACATCCGCTTAGGTATTGTCTTTTGTTTACTTTCCCACCAAACTACTACTACTCTCCTCCTTCGCTTCACTCTCTTCACTTGTTGTAATTTTTGCGAAGAACCACCCCTTGAAAGGATTTGAATTCCAATAGCCAATTCGATTGATTCGGTTAAGATCGAAACAGAACAGAAGGTGCTATAGAAAGGCTTTGTTTTTTTTTTCTTCTTTGTTTGAACACTTAAACTACACACACACCCACCCACCCTCACACACACACAGACAAAGAGACTACCCGCCCAAATACCATAATTACTTTTCTCCCCCTCCGCTAAGCGGTTACTAACCCAGAATCTAAATAAGTTGTTGTTCCTTAGATTTTCCAATTTAACCTTACTTTTTAGTAATTTATTATATCTCGTATATACACACAAATACATACATACACACATGTACGTATGTAATGGTATATAAGATTTTGTATTTTTTCATAAATAATTTTAATTAGTATTTTTTTTAATATTTTTTTTTTTTAATTTATATGCATCACTAATTCAACTTTAAGTTGGTATTTATTTTTATTTGTATTTGTTTGCATAGATAGAATTTTAAAACTCGGTTATTTGATTATACAAAACTGCAATAAAACCGGTTAACTGACCCACCCATATTGAAATAATGCCATGCTTAACATTAGTACAGAGGCTTTTTATCCCCAAATAAAACAAAAACAATTTAAACAAATAACAAATTAAATAGAATATATAAAATAACAATAGACTACTACTGTAACCATTAACCGAGTACCGAGTACTTAATATATTTTTCCAATAACACATAACAATGTAGTTTAGTTAATATAAAAAAGCAAAATATCCAAAGTTAATTAAATTATTTTATACACATACATATATATACACTCACACACACACATACCCATTTTTTTCATCCATACATGTAGTTCATTTTCAAACTCCAAAACGAAAAACGATTACTCGATAGTCACTTTTTTAAAATTATTTTTGTATAAAACTGAATTTATTGTATTTTTTTCCCTCCAAAAAAAAGTGTATTTCTTGAAACGAAATAAAAATGAAATTTTGTCACAAAAATAAAAATATCAAATGAAAATGTTCAGTTGCTTACAAGGTGTGGAAAGAAGATGGGTAACCAGTCGTTTGCAGTTATCGGTTATTTAAAATCAAATCGGGTATAAGAAACTTTCTAGGATATGTAGAAAAAATTGACTAATAAGTTTTCAATATTTGGTGTCAGCAAAAAAATCTGACTTCAAGATTAGTCGAGGATGTCAAATTATCGAAAAATCGATTTTTCTTTTCGACTTTTGTCACCAAAGTCGATTCGAATCAAGTTAAGGTTTTGATTCGAATTTCTATCTACAGATGATAGCGCTAATTATTCAAATTTTCGCTGGATACTTCTAAAATAGTATAGAATTGAAATTAATAACTCGAAAATCATTTGAATACATTCTGGCGCGAGTAAAATTGGAAAGTCGAACGAAAATCCAAGATCGTAAATCGATTATGAACAATCGAATTTACAAATTTTAGAATTTTTTATGCTAAAAATCCCCTAAGCGAATCTTATGTACCCCAGATACGCATATACATATTCTCTATATATTAAATAAGGCAAGTGGAAATTTTAAAATAAGTATTTCCCTGCATTCCGACAAGCAGATCAATTTTTACCGGCGTTTATGGAAATATTGTAGGCATAGTTGTCTGCGTTGTAAAAAGAATTGCAATTGAGCCAAACTAAAGTGAACCACCTCAAAGTAAGCCAATTAATTCATGCTTCCAAACAAAAATTCCGGATCGAAAATCGATTATAAAAAATCGAATTTACCAATTTTGGATTTTTTATGCCACAAATCCATTAACCGAATGTCATGTACCCCTGGACACAACCATATATACGCTTCATATAAATAAGGAAGAGAAAAATTATAAAAAAAGAATTTTCCTGCAATGCAAAAAACAACGATTTTGCCGCCATTTATGGAAATATGGGTTGTGAGTTGTAAGAATAATAAGTATTTCCCTGCAATGTGAAAATCAGATCCGTTTTACCGCCATATATGGAAATATGACAAGGATTCTTGTCTGAGTTGTAAAAGAATTGCAATCGAGCCAAATCTAAGTGAACCGCCTCAATGTATGCTCAATAATCCATGCTTCTCAACTACACATCCAATTTTGTTAATGCTAAACCACCATCTAATGCAATTAGGCAAGTTTAGTGTTAGTTCTCTCAGAGTCTCTTTCGTAAATCATTTGCAAACCCTCTGGCGCGAATAAAAAATGGAAAGTCGAACAAAAGTCCAGGATCGAAAATTGATTATGAAAAATCGAATTTACAAATTTTATAATCCAAAAATCCATTAACCGAATGTTATGCACCCCCCGGATAATACTATGTATACTCTTTATGTAAACAAGGCAAAAGGAAATTATAAAACAAGTATAAACCCTGCAATGCGACAAGCAGATCAGTTTACGGAAATATGGCAATGGTACTTGTCTGAGTTGTAAAAATAATTGCAATCGAGCCAAATCAAGGTGAATCGCCTCAAAGTATGCTCAAGTATAAACCCTGCAATGCGACAAGCAGATCAGTTTACGGAAATATGGCAATGGTACTTGTCTGAGTTGTAAAAATAATTGCAATCGAGCCAAATCAAGGTGAATCGCCTCAAAGTATGCTCAATAATTATTGCTTCCCAACTACAATTCCATGTCCTAATACTAAAGCCGCTTCTAGTGTAATTTGGCAAGGATAGTATTGGTTTCGATCAGAACAAAATTCTGATGTCTCTCTTTTACCGTTGCTACTACTAACATATTACGGGAACTCCGGTATGAATTGTTTAGTTACTTTCAACATCATGAGTTTGAAAAGTGGAGAATATTAATGATATTGTACAAAATATTAAACCAACGTCATCTACTGAGATCAAAACAGAGCGAAACGCCTAAAGGTATGCTCATTAATTTACTCTTTCCAAACAACTACGCTTGCACAATTACAATAGATGGCGCTTCTATGACATATAGAACGATGTCTGGAAAATGTTTTACATTTCGAAATTAAGACGAAGGATTTCTAAATATTTTTCTGCTAGGAGAACATCAATAAGACCCATTTTGACTATAACACGCCATTGGACAAGCATTTCTAATATAACAGCGCCATCTATTATTAATGGCAAGGATAGCTGTCTAAGAAGTGTAAATTCATGAGCATAATTATGATCGGGTCATATCAGAGTGAACCGCCAAAAGGTATGCTCATTACGGGACCTCACGCTTCTTAAGAAAAAAACTTGCCCAATTACAATAGATGGTGCTTCTTTAACATATAGTACACTATCTTGAAATTCACATTCCGAATTCAAGACGAACTTCTTTGCTGGGAGAACACCAGTCAGACCCATTTTGACTGCGACTACCAATTGGTCAACAATATTTAATACTGAAATACTGGAAAGTAAAAATTGATGAGCATAATTTTGATCGGGCCAAAACAGAGTGAGCCACCTAAAAGTATGCTCCTTAATTCACGCTTCTCAGGCAACTAAGCTGGCCCAATCACAATAGGTGGAGCTTGTCTAACAAATAGTACTGTATCAAGAATATTCTTGCCATTTGGGAGGATTGCAATGCACTTCTCTGCTGTGAATATTTCTTTTGAAAAACTCGATTATACCCTATATAGTATATAGGGTATATTAAGTTCATCATTCCGTTTGCAACTCATCGAAATAATAATTTTATACAAAACAAAGTATATATAGTCTTGATCCACGTAAAATTCCGTCCGTCCGTCTGTTGTAATAACGCTAGAGTCAAAACGAATAAAGATAGGAAGCTAAAATTGTTCACAGATCAGCCTTTTGTCTGCAGGCAGGTCAAGTTCGAAGTATCAGTTGACGATATCGTATAGACCCCATATTACTGTACCCCACGAAATTCGGTATTTGGAAGATTTTAGCTACATTTTTCAATGAAATTTTCTGAAAATCCACAAAAGGAGTTCCTTCTGAGTACTTTATCCCCTGGAAGTGTATTGTCTATGTAAGTAAATCCATACTAGAAGTCCTTTCTAAGCACTTTACCCCCTAAAAGAGAAATGTCTATGTAGGTCCACGATATTGTATATCCCACATACAACGGTACTCCCCGATATTCGATATTTTGACGATTTTAGGGATATTATTCACCGGAGTTGTTTGAAATTTCGCATTCAGAATACGTAGTGGATGCTACAGCCTATGAAAAAAAAATAATGATATCTCCCCATATTCAGTATTTTGATGATTTTAGCGACATTATTCACCGAAGTTGATTCAAATTTCGTATTTAGAGTTCATAATGGGAACTACAGTCTACGCCAGAAAATTGTCTATGTAGATCCAGGTCTTTGTATAGACCCCATATATCAGTACCT